AAAAAAAAAAAAAAAAAAAAAAAGACAAAAAAAAAAGGAAAAAGAAAGGAAAAAAAAAAAACTGCAACAAATGTTAATGTGCAAGAATCCAGGCTCTGTGGGGTGGCCTTCCCTTCAGGAACTGTTCTCAGCCAGCAGGGTGACATGCTACCCTGCCCTAAACTTGACTGCTTTATATTCTAGCCCAGTGGTGAGATGAGGACAGGGACGGGGCGGCATGTGTGCCTGCATACGGATGAGGAGTAGAGGTCCATAAGGAGAGGCCAAGGCTCCCTACTACTACCTTGTCACCTTCTTAGCCCCTGAGTCCTGTTTCCCACTCCTCCCTCCTCTAGTCCCCAAAGCCATGCTGCAGCAACACACTCACTGCCACCCTACCTGCATGCACGTGTGCTCGGCCCCACCACTGCCACTGCAGAGTCTCCCCCAGACCCCCGGCTCAGCCTTTTCTCCTGATTCCCTCCTTCAAAGCCCAGTCACCCAGTCACCTCCCTCCTCTTCCACCACCCACGGCTGGCCCAGCTTTGGAAGAAGGGAGGGAGGGGCCCACATCCCTGCTCTGCCTTTGGCAAAATACTTGACCCCGAACCACCAGAATTGTACCTCTCTGACCACACTGGGATACAGACCCTACCTGGCCTCTGGCCTCTGGCCTCCCCCGGGCTCATGCTGTGGTGTCCAGGAGACCCTGCTCAGAGGGCTGCAGAGCCTGACTCCTTTCAGTTCACTTCCCAGTTCCTTTACACCCACCCTAGGGACGCCTCATGCCCTGGCTCTGCCTGGCACAAGGACAGATGTGTCACCACACATGGCTCCTGGGCTGAGACCTCTGTCCACAAGAGTGGTTCTTCAGACCCAGTGTTGCCATGGCAATGCCAGGTACTTGTGACCCAAGAGGAAAGATGGCCTGGACATTGGTCCCATGTGTCTGCCAAGGTCTGCAGCAGTTGCTGGTGGGCCAGGAGTGGGGCCAGGCGAGGGGAGGCCTGGAGATGGTTTTGCTGTAGCTCATGTCTGAGTGCCAAAGTGAGGTGACTCAGGAGGCCTGAGGGTGGTCCTGTTTCTGCCACTACCAAGCCGTGTAACCCAGGGCATGTCACTTTGCCTCCCTGGCCTGTTTCCCCAAATATAAATGGAGGTGAATCAGCTTTCCCAGTTCACCCTGAATCCTGAGCCTGGGGTGGCGCCTGACCAGAGAGGGTGCTCAGGAGGGTGCTCAGCAGAGCTTGGAGGGCAGAGGTGAGGGTGAAAGCTGATTGTGGAGGAGGAAGCCACTGGCCTGAGTGCTGGGCCAGGGGTCCAGGATCCCTTTGCTGTCGTCATTGTTCTGTTTTCATAATGGAGAGAAGGAACCCAGTGTGAGATGCTCATTTATGTACTCACACATTCACTTGGTGCATTTAAACACACTTATTGAGTACCTGCTGTATGCTGGGTGCTATGCTAGGTTCTTGGATGCTGAGCTGAGGAAGATATCCCAGCTCGAGGCACTCCCAGCTGAGTGGGGAGGAGACACGGCCAGGGACATGCAGGACCTCAAGAGCCACTGTGGGCAGGTGGCCAATGGTTAGGAGCTGGGCATCGGAAACAGGCTGGATATAGGTTCAAATCCCAGCTGAGAGACTTGGGGACGTACTTACACACTCTGTGCCTCAGTTTCCTCTCCTTGAAATGGGGTGTGATAACAAGAGTGACTTCACAGGGCTGATGTGAAAGTTAAGTAAAATAATCTATGGAAAATGCTGGGCACACACTGCAGTACATGTGGTTTCTGAGGACAATTTTGATTACACAGAGCCACAGCAGAGGCTCACCAAGGGCTGAGGGAGGTGGGGGCAGAAGGGGACACCATGTGCCAGCACTGTGAGAAGTGCTGCTGATGTCCCTGAAACCACTTTAAACTCTAGGGTGGCTTCCCATTGCTGTGCCTCAGTTAACCACCTTTCTTTCCCCTCTCCGCAGTGGGAGGGCTGTGAGACAAGGCTGGTCTCCCTGCAGCTGCAGACCTTGGGCATTCCCGTCCCAGGTGTCAACACCAGCTCCACACATGCTCAACTCGGCACGAGCTGGCACAGAGCAGGGTGGCCGTAGGTGGTGTCTGCTCGGCCTCCTTCCTCCCCTGACCCCCAGGCTTGGGCTCTGTGATGCTGCCCAGGATACTGAGGCCATCCTGGCAGGCAGGCTCTGGGCAATCTCAGCTCTATTCAGTGCAGAAAAAGTTCTTTTAAGGGATGGCATGGGCTCAGCTAGATGGATGAGGAAGGAGGAGCAGAGGAGGGTTGTTTGCACAGGGGCTGGTGGGTGAATTGGCAGAGAGCCCCTTACCCACAGCTGCTGGCAGCTGGCTCTCCTTGTGGCTTTGTCCTGAGAGGAAGAGCCCGGACCCCAGACATTCTGGTGTGGAAAGGCTGGGGGCCAAGGGCCATCAAAGAAGCTCTGGAAAGACAACTTGTAGGAACATCACCCAGAAGAGTCATCCAGAGCCCTCAGAAGTAACTGTCCAGGTCTAAGCAGCCCTCTCTGGGGACCTGAATCCCTGGCCATCGCAGGGAGCCACAGCATTGTCGTAAACCCTCAAGGGGTTGGGGCTCTGCAGTGTTACATGTGTCTTTCTGCCCTGACAGTCTGGTCCCCAAGCATCAGCCCTCTTGAGAAGGTTCTCCTGATAGGGAGGCCAGCTCCCAGCAAGCAGGCATTCTGGTTGACCGAGTTCACCTGTACTGCACCTGCCATGGTCACTGCAGAGTCTCCTTGGACGGAATCAATTCAAATTCAAGCTGAGAAGCCCTCCTTCCTCCTTCACACCTTCCTCCCCTGTGAGGGGCTGGGGCCTGGATCAAGACACTCAGGGAGTGTGGAAGGGTCTGCTGTAGGCACCACGAGGTTAGGGGCATGCCATGTGTCCCCACTCCAGTCGTCCAAGCTGAAATTGGGAGAGTGTGCTCTAAAGTCAGCTCCTCTCTTCTCTCTCCCACCTCCTGTCTCCCTGCACTTGTCCCTTGCTTTCATTCCCTTCCATTAAATAATACTGTGATGGATTGTAAAAGGTACTTAGCTGAATCACAGAGTTTAGACATAGAAGAGACCAATTAGGTCATCAAACCATCTCTCTCTTGAGGACAGGCAGAAAATAGGAGACAACAATAAACAATTTTATTGGGATATTAATTTAGGCGCCCGAAGGCCTTGACTTGTGTCTCTTAATATAATGCAGTGGATTTTTTCCTTTCCCCACTAATGTAATAATGGAGCCATTTTGTGAGCAGTTGGTTTGCATGATGGCTTTTGTGTTCCTCCTTTTCCCACGGAAGGTCCAGATGGAGTTTCGGAAGAGCTGGGAGCGCTGGCAGCTTGAGCAACTGCACATCCAGAGGGACAGCAGCATGCAGCCCCTCAAGTGTCCTCCCACCAGCAGCCTGAGCAGTGGGGGCACGGTGGGCAGCAGTGTGTATGTGGCCACCTGCCAGGCCTCCTACAGCTAAGACTCCAGAACCTGTCCTCCCTGTGGTCTTGCTGCTGGCTGGACGGCCACCCCAGGTGGGAGAGACCTTCCTGGGGACAGGGGAAGGAGGGACACCTCACACATACATCCCTGCTTTCCCTGCCCAACCCAGCAGACAGGCAAATGGGCAGTGCCTCCTGGGACCATGGGCGCATTTTCTCTGAGGACAAGCAGCCTGCTAATTTGATCACTGTGGCAGGAGGAGAGGAAAAGCGATTGCTGCTCAAATGAGGAGGACTTCTTCCCATAGCCACAAGACCCTTGGGGTTCCTCCAGACAGAGCAGCAAATCAACGCCAGACTCAAACTCAAGGTCAATGGCTTATTCGTGGGATTGGGGCTTGCAAGAGGAGGTGGTTGTGAAAGAGACCAATATGACCTCAGCCAAACTCAGAACGTGGGTAACACGAGCCAGTGTTGCACATGTCAGGTGGGGTCACCACTCTCACCAGCCTCCTCATCAAGGGAAGCTGTCTGTGCATCTAGGTTGCTTGTTGCCCTTGACTTGATCCTCATCTCACCACCCAGTTTCTCCTTGGGGGGCTTTGTTTGGGCCACGACCAGCAGCTTTTTCTGGAAATGGCTGTGGGTGGTGTTGAGAATAAGCATTGAGAAGATGCCTGAAGATTTATTTTGCTAGAGTCCACTTTGCCCCTGGGTATTTAGGTTGCTTTGGTGCCTCCTTCCACCATCCCCAGGGAGCCAGGGCAGGCCTGCCGCTGAGGAGCCCAGCTGGGTTACTCGGATATGAGCTCCCAGTCCCGTTCTAAAGATGCTCGAGAATCCTCTAGGTTTCATCTAGGGGCACTTTAGGAAGGTCCACACTGTAGGCGTAAATTACTTGCCACTTCCAGCAACCCAGGGGGCAAAAGAGTCATTGCCTCTACCTCTCCATGGAAACACTTCTCTGGGACCAGATTCTGTATCTTGAATGGGAGTTTGGGCAGGCCCTCTCACTTTAGGGGATGTGACCAAGAAGAGACTCTCCCAGGGAAACCAACAGTCCCCATCATACCACGGAGGCAGGCTCCCCCCACCTCTGAAATCCCCCTACTTGGGAGCTTGTATATACCTTATTCGTTTCTCTTTATTGCTATAAATAGTCTGTACGTGCAAACGTGCAATTTTGATTTCTTCCACCTGATGGAAACAAGGACTAAATCATAGTTGTTGTTATGTTGTTTGGGGAGTGAGGCAGTAATTGATTTGATTCATCCACACTTTGAGCTAATTAATGTTTGTCCTGCCTCCATCCTCATCCCATAAATAAGGAGCGGCAGAAAGGCTGGTTGGGGAAACCCTATGAATCCTGCCGCAGCATGGTGAGAAAGCAGACGCATAGCAGTACTGCAGAAACCCAGACGAAAGGGGGACAGTCATCCCAGGGAAGCCGGTAATGAGTTCTGGGTATATGAGAAGTATCCAGAGCAGGAGAGCACTCTTGGGGGTCCGCGCCTCCTGGGAGGGTAGAGGGAGAGGCTTCAGACAGATTCCTTTATGAGCTGGTCTCTCCCTCCTTCTCATTTCTAAATGGTGGGGGACTCTCCCCAAAGTCTTACATCAGACGCATTCTCCTGTGGCCCTCGGAGAGGTGTGTGATGTGCAGGGAAAATAATAATGCGACATAAAACACATCAAGCAGAAAATTTCTTATACTTCAGCTCCAGTGAAGAGTTGTCTATGTTAATAGGGAACTTGAACCTCAGGCTAAAGAAAGGAATTGTGCAGACCACCTCCTCGACTGAAACAATCGGGGGTGGGTGGGGGAACCTTCCTGCTTTCCCAGCAAGGGCCAGCCTCCCAATAGGCACTACTTATTTGCTTTCTCTTGGGGACGGGGGTGAGGCAGATGGTGGGTTGATGTGGGTGGGGTACAGCTCTGGTGCAAATGTTTCAGTTCTGGATAAACTGAAAGATTTTGAGAATCTTTAGTGCATTACATAGCAACGAAGAGACAGATTGATATAATCTGCGTGAAATAGACTGCCGAGGGGAGGAATTGTGGGGAAGAAAGTGCTTAGTTAGGTACCTGGGGAG